GGAAACTCTATTGTGGAAGAATGAAATTTGACTCACTTGAATGGGATAATGGGTTGACCCATTCCATGAACAGTGACCACAAAGCAATGAATACTGTCTTCACATTGTAGGGCTCCATGTGATTTTATGATGTCTTTTCATGAATGGAAAGCCACTGTACACAACTGCAGAAATCTGATCAGTCTCCACTGTTGAGTTGCTTATGGTATCATTTGCATTTCTCTGCAGTGCAGTTGTCATTTGTTTGAATTAGCCTATTAACTGTACAGTATGAGTTCCTCTTATATGAGATGGAAAGATTTCTGTGTATGTGTTGATTTTCTGACTGATGTGCATACCACAAAACATACCACAAAAGAAAAATAAATCATAGTGACAGTAACTTGAGGTTACTTAAAAACGATTAGATCCAACACAGAAAAAAGTGTCTGATTTTAATACAGCTTTCCCTATTATTTGATTTATTTATTTTGCCAGGTGAGTCAATTAAAAACCAATTCTAATTTTCAGTAAATGATGTTCTGCTGTGGGTGATTTCCAGACAAAGTGTCAGATCTGATTCTTATGGTATATTCATTACCACTTATTTATAATGTCCTTGGATAGGAAAAAGTTTAGAATGTGATACATTCAAACTATACAAACCACCTTTTTGAGACCTAGAGACGAGTAGTTTTTTATGTATGGTAATATGAGGTATTCTTTAGCATACCTTAAAAAAACAAAATCATAAAAACAGTAAACTGGAAAAAAGGTTTTATGAACATTAACTTAAAAAAAATATATTTTTAATATAGTTTTGTCCACACATGTACAGTGGGCAATCACTGTGGTCTTATTTACTGAAATGTAGAAACGTGTCCCTTATATGCTACTACAATTAATACAAAAAATTAGACATACTATATATTACTGTATTTCAGTACAAACAATAATAAAAGATATAAATATTTTAAATGGTTTAGACCTGCAAAATATTTTTTCAGTGTTAAATCTTTATCCTATCCTGTTAAAAAAAGACATATTCAAATATAACATAACGTGGGACAAACATTGAATATCAGCAATATTTGGTATGTACAAAACTGATATAATTGTTGCAGAATACCTAAGATAAGATTGGTTTTTACTGTATGTTCTTTCATTGTTTTTAGACCTTTGATCGCTATATAAGCCCTTACATTAAACCTTTAGAGAGAGCGCTTGATTCAGTATAATTGTTGTCAGAACCCTGAGTCATAGAAATAGTTGCTAAGTGCATTTAACCCCTTTAGATGTTTACTGTAAATGCAAATGCATTTATGTTTGATATTTGGATCACAGGACCAAAAAAAAATCGCATGATGTTAAAAAGCTTTCTATAGTGTGTTTCGAAACAATATAACAAGGAACTCTTCATCATGAGACACAACCCTTTACAATAGTTGAAATAACAGTTAGAAGAAATTATAAACTAAATGATGCATGAATTTGACTAACACCTGACCCAGCAATGCAACAACAATGCAGTTCTGAAATGTTGTACAGTTCGTGGTTTGTGAAGAATTTAATGGTGGCCTTTTGGTATTGTGTGGTCTCCAATATATATTTATTTATTATTGGTTGTCATGTTTCCGGACCAAGACAGAGGTTATTAAACTTGTGGAAGGTTCATAAGAGTTTGCTTTTCATCGTACCTCACTGACCTCGAGCCACCTCCTGCAATTTTTTCATTAACGGAAACAACACTGCTGCTTTCAGCGGCAGAGGGCAAATGTTTTATGTGAAATGTGTTATATAGGCAATTTCAGCTCTTTCTGTTATTGTTCTAGAAGATTAAACTGTTTTTTATGACATGAACAGTCACAGTTATTTATGTCCTTTTAGACAAATGAACAAATGGCTTAAATGGAGTGTGGCTTCCATATAAGATAAATCTGATAAGCATTTAATAGGAGGGAATAATTACAAGAATACCCTAATTGCTCAATGCTTATAAACAAATCATCTGCTCTGGAAAAAAATGTTTCTTGATGATTTATGTTGAAAGTATTCAATGAAGTTAAATAAAAAAACAATACAGTTGCATTTAAACAGTGTTTAAGTTTGTGGAAAGAACTGTATCCCTTACAATCTAATATTTAAACACAGAGCATTTAGCAGCTAGGTTTGCCAGTGTCTTAGGGGATGTGTGACTCTTTTGTGGGCTGCTAAATCTGTCCCTGACTGCTATCTATTTGCGCTTGTGAGCTTTTTCATTATGATTTTTCTCCATTGAAAATATGGTGATCTTCAAAGGGAGACACACTCTCCCTTCATCAGTTTTGTTCTGTCCTGCCAATCAAGTTACAGTATAACCATAAGGAAATGGAGATATATACTGCATATATTAAGGAGCTACTCCCATTAAGTTTCACTTATCAGTGTTAATACAACCATAATACAGTTTTCCACTTGTGAAGTTGGAAAGTCTGCCACAAACAGTTTGTTTTTTTTAGTTCAACAAGCCATTCACATTGTACTCCCATTGTTGATGTTCCTCTGTGGTCCGATGAATCAGAGAGAGAATACTGAAAAGGGATAAACTGTCCTCTTGTAGAAATCGCTATAAGAACTTTGTGTGTGTGTTTTTTATGTGCAGTTTTGTTACTGACAGGGATTGTGCCTCAAAATAAATGAGCAAATTACTTATATTTGACACATTATATCTGAGTTATTTGACCAGCAGGTGACAGTCTTTGTCCTGGTGGGACCCTCTTTATTCTGTGCACCAACAAAACCAGTGATGAAATGATGCTCATCTGGTGGAGACTGATAAGTCTCAGGAGACAAAGAGACAATTGAAAAGGCTGAAGCTCTTGAATAATTGTATCTATGGGGCTTTATTTCAGGTACACCCACATGTAGACACAAAAGCCACTGAACCTTGGTGTGAGTGTTTCAGAAGGGTCACAGTTTTCACAATGCAGATTTAATCACAAAGTAAGAAGCAGCTGTGCTAGGATTCTAAAGAGGTTATGTAAGATCGAAGAATGTTTTTCTTTTTCCTTTCCTCTTTTTATGCCAAAATGTAAGGCAGTGCTCGAACAGCCAAACGTTTGCCTCTATTATTTTAAATAAAACACGGACAACCTGCTATTCAATGCAAAGGTTTGACCAGCCAGACTTCATAAATAAAAAAGTACACTAACCATTTTTTATTTTGTATTTGTTTACCTCAACATCTTAGATTCTACAAGGAAAGAAAAAGCTCAAAACACCACCAATCAGTATCTTTACATTTCTCTCAGTTGCAAATCCCTATCTGTCAGGAAGTGATATAAGATGCAGCTTAAAAAGGATACCTCAGTACTGTGAAATATTAGCTACAATAACACCCTAATATTTCTCTTGTACTAGTATAGTTATTTGATCTTTCTTATTTAATTACACATTCACGATATTAGCATGTTGTCAATTGTTTTCATAGCAGTTTAGGGAATCTTTTAAAGAAAACCACTTACTGCAGCACTTAATACATTTCAAATTAAAAATATTTTTAGTATACAGTACATATTAAGCTTTTCCTAAACGCTTATCTAACTAGAAGATACTTACATTGCACTGGACTTGTTTTTGTCTGAAACTTGACAGTGATGCATGTTCTGTATATACAGTAATATGTCAAAACCATGCAGACCCTAGTAAAATGTAACAGCATAATAAAGCTATTTAAGTTTATTAAGATGCACACATGTCATTAAACATGCTCTCCTCTATTGTCGTTTTTTCAGTAAAGGCCTTTAAGTAGTTTGCTGATGTTTATTTTGAAAAAAACCACTAGATTCAGTTATCATACATTAATGTTATACATCAAGATGAGTATACAGTATACAGTACTGTGCTCTTGGTTCAGTCTATGCAGGCTATGGCAGAGAAACATTGCAGGACCTCCCTCTTGTGGAAACAGCTTGTAAATGTAAATGGCTTCTTGCAAACATTTTTCTTCCAAAATGATAAATGGGGAAATGTTATTAATGTAGCATTGGTTCTTGGTAATGCTGTGAGGGCAAACATTATAAAATGTTTTTTGAGAACCCTTTGATCAAGCTGGGATATGATACTGAAGTTATGAGCCCGGTTCAGAACAGTGAGATAGAGAGTCCAGCAGAGTAGTACAGGGATCTCACACTCCTCCCTACAACCAGACTTTCCTTTGTTAGAGTCCAGCACAAAAAAAACTGCATCTGGCACCACTTACATCATTTTCCCTAATGGCAGTCTGGAAATGTTGCACAGCTAATGACCGAGTTAGTCTTGGCACCTGGTTTATCTGTACAGGTTACAGGTTTGTGGGAGCTGCCAGCTTGCAAGCTGTCAAAAGATGTTGCCCACCCCAACACCCTGTTTTAGCTATCCAAGACTTTCAAATGAAGTGCCATCATCTGTTCCACTTACGGAACACTGTATGTAAAAACAGATTAACAAATGAACATATCTTTGTTTGTACTGTTTGTACTTAAAATATAACATCTATTTGAGCTTTCCCAGAAAAATGTAATAAAATACTGTATTTGTAAAATGCAACATAATAAGCAGCACTGGTTCTTAACACAAAAATTCTAAGTAAAATCTTTAACCGAAGTACAGGCTAATAATTATTGATAGAACATTGATTCTCCAAAATACAAAGTCAGTCTAGCTAAATTTTATTTTTAACTTATCTTGAATCTTCCTTTTGACTAAATAAAATGAATTGGACAGCTATATCTAATTAAAATTCTAAAAAAAAATCCTTTCCAGTTTTACATTAAGATAGTGAAAAATGAGTTATTAACCTCTTGTGGTAGTTCAAGTAAATTGCACTATGAAAGTACTGGACTTCTCAGAAATTTTATGAGTATTGTACTTCATCCGTTTAATTGGGAGTTTTATAGTATATTGGTCATGCTATATGTCATCAGTTTAATGTCTAAGGTCTAATGTTTATTAGAGTAAGTGCACAGAAGTAATCATTTTATTGTATATTTATTGTTTTGCAGGTTTCTGATCGTGCTGGGGTGCTTAATCTTGGCCATATTGACAACTTTCAAAGAACATGAAAAAGTATCTGCACATTGGCTCGTTATATTGGTAAGATGTTAATATTATAGATACTATGATGCTGATGAAGGGATATATAGACCTTGTTTGTATACCATGTTTGTTGTTGGTGATACAGTATATGTATTTATTTTATACACATTTTAGTGAGATTCCTGCTAGAAACTACTTCTTGATTTCCTTATTGAAAAATGTAAAATTCAAATTTCATGAAGAAAACCTATAGTCATTAATGTTATTGATATTTTTGTTATATTTATATAATTTGTTTTGACAACTCATCAAATTTAAAATGAGTTTGTTTTTAGGCTTCACACATTAAAGCCAAGCTCCAGGAGAGTTTAGTTTTTATAAAGCCACTTTCAAAAATTCTGAAGTTAAAATGAAGGACAAGATTAAAGGTGTACAAAATCTATGAAGTAGACTATCCAATGCTTTTCAGATTCTGTTTCTGAGAATTGGACACTTATTTATACACTTTACCTAAATCAATAACTTCACTGTATTTCAGAAGAAATATAAAAAAATACTTTGCAACCTCTGAGTTATACTTGAGATTCTTCCTCACACATCCATCTGTTCCTCTCTTTTGTCTTTTTAATCTTTTTTGTATCATTCATGATATTGTGCAATGACGTGCACATCCCTTTTGCAAAGGAAAAACAGTTTTGTTTTCCCGTTTTAAAAGTGTTGAAGATACTCTCAAAACAAGATAATTCAGTTTAATCTGAAATGAATTCAGCATTATATATACAGAATATAAAAGCTCAGCTGTGGAAGAAGCAGTTAGTATCTTCTAGAAGTGGAATGCTACTGTTAAGCTACCTAGGGACTGAAAAGACCTACAAAGGAAAAAAAAATAGAACACGCTGCACTTTTTACAGGAAACCTTCACCATATTCATATTTGGAGCAGAGTTTGCATTACGAATCTGGGCTGCGGGTTGCTGCTGTCGATACAAAGGATGGAGGGGGCGTCTCAAGTTTGCCCGGAAGCCTTTGTGTATTTTGGGTAAGTATGTCAAACAGGAGCCGGTGTATATCAGAGTGAGAAGGAACCCGTTGTTCATGGCGGACTTGTTACAAAACCTCTGACTACTTCACCGAATGCTTAATGTGTACGATGTGATATAATTTGACATCGGAAGTGATTACAAGTTATGATGACTTGCGTTTAGTTCATTCCAAATGATCCCAAAGTGTTTTACTGCACATGTACAGTAGGAGCAGACCTACTCATCAATACCACTTACAGTACAGTACAGCAGCAACCTTGTTTTCCTTAGAGCTCTCCCATGTCAATACAAACCAGGTCCAGCCTTGCTTACCTTCTGAGATTCGATGAGGTCAAGAAAAAGCAGGCTTTCCCTACGTCTGCCAGTGTCAGACGGTATACGACTACTGTATGTGTTTCAGTGAAGACAGCCTCATACAGTATGGGATGCATTTCATTCCACCAGGCCCACTATAAATAGTGATGCTAAATTAACATATATATTAAAAAATGAAAACCAGGACATTCATGGTCTACTTAACAATTAAAGAACAGGGAAAGATGAAACTGCAGAGGCTAAAAGCAAAAAAAAACCCACATTATTATTGTATGGAAACTAATTCCTTGTTGGCATGTTCCCTGGTTTCATTAATAATTTCCCAGAAGATGCGTGTTGAACACACTTTTTCAGTATTTTTATACAAGACTTTAACCTCAAAATAGTATTTTGTTGTAAACGTCTGGCAATTTGTATTTGTCCATTTATTCACAAGAAGGGTTATTGTTTGACCTCTATTGTTTGAGCAAATGTATAAAATTTGAATCAGATTCTTATCTTCAATTAAATTTAAATATTTTTAGATTATCCTAAAACAATAGTCACAACCTTAAAAAACGGAATCTCTGTGAAAGTATATTTTTAAAATGGGAAATACTGTATAAGTGGATTACACAGTTTCTAAAAACTGTTTTTAGTCTTGGTTTGCAGTTTTCAGAGACCATACTGTATATAAAACACATTCCCATGAACTGTAAGTAGATTTGAATTGAATAATGATATTTCTTACATAAATCAGGGCTTAAAAATCATTCTATCTAATTTTTGTGTTTTAAAAAGGTGTTGTTGTGTCTTCTGGAGGTAAAAAATCAGGCAGCATCATTTTAGTGTATGAATTCCTCAGATATGAGTCAAATACAGTGAATCAAACCATGATACATTGAAAAGTTTAGCTAACTGCCTGTTGCTCTCCCATTTGTTATATTTGGGAAATGAGAAAGTAATGACAGATGAGGGCCATCAGTATCTGGTTTCAGTCATACTAGCCATCCGATGACAATGTTTTATATTGAGCACACTGGTCAGAAACATGTGTTTAGAAGGTAGGGACACTGTTCTAGAGTAGGAAGACTATTAAAAAAGAAAGCAAGTAATTTTAACTCAGACATTTGATGAAGCTAACCATAGAGAAATACAAAAACAAAAGCATTTTAAGTATCTACTCAAGGTCCCTAGATTGCCAAGACCCTTTAAAAATATATACATATTAATGGATCTATTTTTACATGATACACAAGATACATTGGATCACACTTGACTCCTTACACCACACAGTGAAATCCTAGGAATTCAGGGATTAAATTAAAGTAAAAGGTACTAAATGAAGGGTATGTGAGACATCAAAGAGAATACTCATTTTAATCTCCTAGTGTAGGTAATTCTCCTAGTGTAGGCTAATTTCACATTCAGTATCTCAACGATAAGATATCTTGAGTACTTGTATGATGGTTTACGGTTCACCAGCTAATTTACCTCCTCAAAGACATGAATGAGGAACTTCACCTTGAGCTGTTTATAGATTGCAGCATCTGTCACTGTGCAGTCACCCTCCCTGTGAATCCAACACTTAATGATACATCCTCTTTTATTAACATTCAGAAGATGTGTTCATAAAGCAAATTCACATTCCGCAACTGACCCCTGCCCTGGCTAAAGGTTACTGTATTTAGTAATCAAGAATGAAGGGCGCTTAAATTTATAAATTTACAAATGTGGAACATTGCAGCCCCCTCGATTGCTTTCAACCTTAGGCTGGTGTTTGTCCATGGATTATTTTAGTGTCTCCAAAGACTTTACATTGGGCATTCAGGTCAATATCAATACCAGTGTATGACGACTTTTGGTTAGGACAATATAGTAAGAAAACTGATTTTAGAGACTGTAAGCTTAGCATTGTAAATATATTTCTGTGCTTATGGTTATTCCATTTTGACCTGGAGTTTGGGGTAGTTTATGTCTGAATTTCCTTTGCTTCAGGTCTGTTTTTTAAGATCACAGCTTGGCAGGAATAACCCAGAAATGACCTAAGTGATTAAATCCCATATCTAATCTGACATCTAGCAAGCAGGATCTTCACTGCTATTATTTTTGCCATCAGTTACACCTTTTCTGTCTCACACAATATAAAAAGGAGATACCTAGTTCCTATGTCTTTGTGCTGCTGTGTTGTGTTTAGATATCTTTGTGCTGATCGCCTCTGTGCCAGTGGTGGCAGTTCGGAATCAGGGGAATGTCTTGGCCACGTCGCTGAGGAGCTTGCGTTTCCTGCAGATTCTCCGAATGCTGCGAATGGACAGGCGAGGGGGAACATGGAAGCTTTTAGGTTCAGCCATTTATGCGCACAGCAAGGTAAGGCAGGTCCAGACACTTCTGTACACAAAAAGACATGGCAGACAAAAGCAGAATGGCTGTAGCTTAAATCGGTAGACATAAAATCGAGCCAAGGCTGCCATTGCTTTGACATTACATTTTGTTCTCTGAAAATATTATAGTTAAACTAACACCAGTTTGATCATTTCAGCTGAGACTGTGTGATTAAATCATGTCACTGCAAGAATGGGTTTCCTTTTAAGGGGGCATTGGGAACTGCTCAGACAGATGCAGCAGGCAGACAGGATGTTGAAATTAAGGAACATCTTCATCACAAGGATAGACAGCTAATCTTGGACTTTTATCACCCTGGTAAATCCAAGGACATGAACCAAAACACTTATTGCAGCTTCGTTGAGATTGATAAAAGGCCACAGTCTATGGCAAGGTGTTGGAACTGCATACAAATGTGTTCTACTGTAAGATAGCATTGTTGCTTGAAAAATGTCTCAATCCATAGCATTGTATGAATCAGTTAGCAGAAATAATGTGTACTTTCCTGCAGACCTTAGTTCAAGTCCGTTTCTGGATTGAAGAAAAATATTTATTTATATTGAGTGATTTGGTTGGTGAGCAATTTGAGAAGAGACATGGTTTTAAACTGCTGGCTTGAGACTGGTCATGGATTAAAAGCTATCAAAATCCTTCTCTATTTGCTACAGTAGGTGCAGTGCGTGTTCGTTGCTGTATTAAACATAGGCCTTTGCTTTCAAAGTTTATCATCTCCACTGAACATATCCATTTAATTTTAATTGCTTAATAAACTGTTAAATAATAAACTGCTTCATAAAATCAATTGTAGGAGCTCATCACTGCCTGGTACATAGGATTCCTTTCCCTCATCCTTGCATCATTCCTGGTATACCTGGTGGAAAAAGATGACATCACTGTGGAGGTGACAGATGGACCCACCACTCAGCCTCCGTCCCAGGACTTCGATACATATGCGGACGCCTTGTGGTGGGGTTTGGTAAGCCAGTGGTTTTCTCTCATACACTTTTTATCTCTGATACAAACAAACAAAGAACTTCTATGAGGCTCTCTCCTTTTCCCACTGCATAGCTACACTTTTGCTTGAAACTATCAGTTGGAGCACGAGAAGATCTGGAATATTGTAATATCCCTGTGCCAAAGCCAGAGAATGACATAAATAGCTACTGTGGAGTTGGCAGCTGGTATAGTCAGCAACTTTGACATCTCAGTTTTCTCCTTACAGCTGCTCACTAAATGCTAAGCTGCAATCCGGAGCAAATTCTGCAATATATATTATGCAGATAGATATAAAAATGCAGAAAAAAAATGTACAAACACAATGTGCATTCATTACTTCCAGTAGAAAGAATAATAAACTGATGGATTTCTAGCTCTCTAATTGTGCTAAAGTTTGTGGTACAACACATGGAAGCCTTTGATTGCTTCTTCATAATGAATTAACAGTGCCTGATGAAACGCATCAAAATATGAGAACTTGAATGGGGGAAATTTTTAAAACAAGGTTCAGATGAGTAAAAACCCTAACTTTTGTATAATCCTGTGTTAATTAATCAGACATTTCATTTGAGTTTGTGAAACATTTATGACAAATATACTGTATGATTGTGAAAGTACTGAGCACGCCACTCTTCTTTCTGTAGATAACATTAACTACTATAGGGTATGGGGACAAAACACCTAAGACATGGGCTGGCCGACTGCTGGCTGGAACATTTGCACTCATTGGAGTCTCATTCTTCGCATTGCCAGCGGTAAGTGGAATCTTTCTGGTTTGCATTTGGCCCTGAACAGAGGTACAGTAGTTCTTCAGGAGTGCCCCCAAGAATTTAAAATACTGGTGTTAGTCTCACCATGTCAGATGTTTGGTTTAGACTTATGTCAGACACAATAGATATTTCTATTTCAAGCATTGCAGTTATTAGCTGACTGTGACTAGGGATTCTATGACTACACAGTATGCAGTCGGCTGAGCACCACTGGGGTTGGGTATGCAAGTGCTGACCAGGGTGTGCTCGCTGTGTAACCGGGAGACTTTCTCAACACCTGTTGTTGTTAGCAAGAGACGCATTGCTCCTCTGAGGAGTTTTAACTTTCCTGTAGGACACATACCTGTATAGAATGTCAAGTAAGTAAGACTGCTGGTACAGTATGTCTGAAAAGTGCAGCTGGCAACAAATAAGTTAAGCCTTGATTTTAACACTTTTTGAAGGGAATTCTGGGCTCAGGGTTGGCTTTGAAAGTCCAGGAGCAACACAGACAGAAGCACTTTGAGAAGCGAAGACACCCTGCCGCCGGCCTGATACAGGTAAGAAATGATGTTGTAATTTTGAACGTGTTCATACTCTACAGACAGTAGAAATCTACTTGCTAATCAAAAACATTCTCTGTATACTGTAACTAAGAATGAACTGGACTGTGTCTGTCTGGGCTCATTACATTGCGTGACTTAATATTACTAGAACAGGCACTTTTCATTGATGGCTGATGAATAAAGTTCAGAAAAGACAAGTCTCTTGTTCACAGATAATGCTGTTGTTATCTTAAATACTGTATAGCCTCACTCTGTGCTGATAGGCAGAATTTGAAACTGCTATGAAAAAATCTATGTAATATACTGTACAGTAATAATAATGCAGTTTTGTAATGGTAACAGTTGAATGAAAACATGTTGTTTTTACCTTCTTCTCTGTAGTCAGCATGGCGATACTATGCCACCAACCCAGTCAGGAGTGATCTGATTGCCACATGGAGATTTTATGAATCCATCATATCCCTGCCTTGTTTCAGGCATGTAGAACTGCATGCACAACTTTCAAATTTCTATTTTTGTGTCTTCCGTATAATTAGTGTATTGTTTTGTTTCGTGTGCTTTTTTTGATTTTCCTTTACCATTTGTGTTTATTTCTTTTGATATTTAGTTTGCATGATCTAATTATGCTGCAGCTAAGAATTCGGTTTCCATAGAAACCTGGATACCAGCTTCAAAAGGAAAACTAACTCTTCAAGGTAACATAGGAGCAAGCATGTTATGTCTCCTTTTTTCTTTCTTAGCTTGTTTTCCACATTGGTCATGTGTGTTTACACATTAAGAGTTTTATCATTTTAATCTTATACAGTACATATTTATAGCACAAAGGATGGTATAGTACAGTATAAGCATCACACCTAACATTTCTAGCTACATACAGTTAAACAAGCACATTTAAAATTCTAATTTTCCTTGATTTACCAGAAAAATACAATGTGTTCAGTTTATTACTTTTTCAAGAACGATTGAATACTGTAGCTTCTGAGAAACATTTTATTGTCAACACTTGATTTCTTTTGCTTGGCAAAAAAATAGTTGTGAACTGTACTTCAGTGTAGTTACAGTAGTTGTCTAAATTTAGAAATCATATGCAGTAGATGCTGTCCTTACATTATTTTTTTCTTTGTCGTATCGCATAAAGTGAATTGTTACACTAAATATATTAATAATCTTTGAATATATCTTTGTCACTCAGTGATCAAATTAAATGTTTGGCATTGTGAAACATACATCTATTTCCAGACAAAAAGTGCTTTATTTTAATCATCTGTATTTCATACATTGGGAGGTTGTTGTTTAAAAGTTTTTTTTTCTCTCATTTCTAAAGAAAGGACCAGATGGAAGGAGTGGCCAGGTAAGTCAATCATTTCAATTTGTTTTTCCGAAAGAAAATCTCTAGGAAACAAAAGCTTGTGAATGACCTTAAGGAAAAATAGGGAAATCCTACTTCTGAAATTATTAAATTTTTAAAAGTAAGAAAAGATATTAATTTTTTTTAAAAATTGCAGAAATTGAGGGAAACAACAAGAACCTTAATAACACCACTGGACCTAAGGTGGTGTTCACACTTCCAGCGTCAGTTTCCACAGAAGAGTACTTGCATTGATATGAGAAAGATGGCCCTCCTTCCGTTCTCATTCAGTGGCAGCTTTGTATGAAACCTATATGCCCAGTATATCTCTGAAACATGCTGTCTTAGAAAATAACCACACCATTATCAAACTGTGTAACCAGATGGATCAGTGGTTCTCAACCTTTTGTCACCCATGCCCCACCTTAATCATTTCTTTACTGACCATGGACCACAGAACAGCACTGGTTCAGCTGTGGGCGGGACGGAGGACCAGTTTAGAATATAGTTAGTTATATTTAGTTTTGTGTTTTTTCTTAGCTCCAGTCACATATACAATGTTATATGCAGTTGAGCACTCTACTCTTCATTGCTACTAAGGATAACATTTCTGATTCCCACGAATACGAAGAGGCTTCAACATTTTTAGTACAATTTTTGATAACTCTGGATATTTTTTTTTTTGAATCCAGAAGTCAGCTAGAAGTGTCTTAGAATTTTGCTAGCAAATGTTCTGCTTTAGAACACTCTGGAAAGTCTTGTTTGCCAATTAAGTGCAGATACGGTATTTGTAGATCCAAAAGATGAGTCAAATTAAGTAAGCTGTTTTCACAAGTAAGCTTTGTGATAAAACCCTGAACTTTATCATTTGCACTAAATTTAGTTATTAGTAACCCTTGAAGCTGTAGATCAATTTTGAAAATATAGCAGAAAGGTACTGTATGCCAGTTTAACGAGTCATTTTATACTCCATCACCAGGGACATACTATGACAAACCTGTGGACCACTGGTGAAAAACACTGAGATAGATCATTTTCAGTCTCATTATGAATAACCAAGTAATACAAATGCCATTACACTTTACACTTTATTATCCTCACACATTAATGCGTTAAAATAACTGAGCTTTTTATTTCAAATGAAAAAATTAAAAGGGTCCATTTTAAAAAATGTTTTATTAATCTCATTTCTGAAGTGTCATATTTGTAATCCAATTAGTCTTCAGCCAATTATGGATGCCTGATATGCAGTTCTTAAACTCTCAATGAATCAGTCCATTGAAACAAGATTGATTTGAAAAGTAATTACTGCATAGTAATTAAGCAGTGTCTGATAAGGTTGTTTTTTTTTAATTTATTGTTCCATATAGAACTTTAACCTTTCATCTGAATTTCATTACTGTCTGTTTTTAGCAAATTAAGGACATGAGTGCTGAGATCAAATCGATGAGATTAAAATATTGATTATTATTTGCATATTGTTAGTCTTCCAGATCTCACAAATATTATTGTAAATAAATATTGAATTCTCTTTGGTGCCTGAAAACTGGTCAGATGTCTCCTTTTACACATACGCACAATGGTAAGACGGTTAGACAGTATGTACAATACATGTAAAATTTTATAAGCAAGTTTTCTTTGTTCATGACACTATGCTAAAGACAGAAGCCATGGTAGTGGACTTCGGCAGGTGGCAGAAAAGTTGGCTAAATGAAGTTATAGTATTTTGTATAATGGATGCTGAAATGTGTGGTTAGCATGCTTTCAGTATTTTTGACAGATAACCTGAAATTGTTTTGCTTTGTTTAATTGTCATGTTTTATTCTCTCACTATGTAATCTGCAACAGCTTTACCCTCAACTCAGTTTATGATGTTGCATTGACTTAATCTCAGAAAGCCTTTTGTCCATAACATCTGTTCAAATCTGGAACTGCCTTAACAATTCTATTAGAAACATCACCTCTCCATCTCAGTTTTAAGTAAACTTAGACTATGTTTAAGTTTGTTTCCCCATGCAGTGGGTTTATCTAGGATTCTTAACCTAAAGGCACATTTTTTACATTACCCATAGGATCACTTCTTCTCACATATCAGAATGGGAAACCTTAGAAACATCTGAATTTTTTTCCCTCTCAAAGGCAGCCTTTCAGCTGTTTTTCTTACCAATTTTTCACTTTGCTGCAGAATTCTGTACAAGTTAGTTTTTGAAACACCATGCCCCAGTCTCCATTGTAATTTTTGAATTCTCCATTCATTAGATTGGCACTGCTCTAGTGTGATTGCCTTCCTGGAGTAAATTATAGTACCTCCACAATGGCTGTTGACACAATCAACAATGATTCCTCATTCTAAATGAGTTCAAATGAATATATATATTATATACAGTAGTAGGCAAAAAAATGAAATAGTTTATACAATATGTTTTACATTTACTTATTTTCATACCATGGATGTTCTTCTGAAAGATGCAAGATTATTTAAAAAACATCAACAAAGGAAACAATACCATGCAGTAAAAACATTATTTTTAAGGCAGGTTTTTGCATTTTTTCCATCAAAGATTTTACAGTTCTTTGAAGACAATGCCTGCTATCCGATTCGCTCTGGTTAAAAAGTAGAAGAAATTACACTGTGATAACCAGAAGTTTTTCAGTTGTGGTTCTGCTGACTTTGATGAAGGGCCAGCTCTTTTGACACTTAAATGGCTATATTCCCTGTATTCTATTTGAGTCCACATAACAGCATTATCCAATTTTTACATTCTTGTACAATGAAAGCACTCTTGTTTTTCTTTTATGCTGAAATTCGTCCTGTTATTTTGACTTTCAGCACCTTATTAACTTCTTTTCATGGCTTACCTGGGACAGAAAAAAATCCCATATTGTCTGTTCATGGTGGGAGCAAGCTTTGAAGAATGTTTTTCTAGTTACAGGGTTTAATTTTACTAAAGCTTTTCATGAAGCCAAATGTCATCAGTCATCCTGGAATAAAGAAAGGCACTTTCCGATAGGCCTTTTAATCTGTACTTCCACATGATTGTAGAATCTAGTTACAGTGCAGCAATGAATCCTAATACCCCTGTGAAGTAGACGGCATCGTCTCCTTGGTCTGTCTCACCACAGTATACTTCCAAAGTAAATAATTTCCTTGGGAACAATAATATAACAATGACCTTTTAACATGTTCCTTTCAGTCACTCATGATGGTCCAGTGGGGAGGGGAGGGACCTCTGTGAAGTTGTGGTCCCAGGGGGGGTTGGGTGGTAGTGAATGGTCAATGGAAACGGTATCTTGATTAAAGTTGTAAGAAGGGAACTCATGTAAGGAGGACCACAAGATTCTTTTAACAAGGGGAAGGATGTTCCCCTCGGATTCACCTTCCGTTTAAGGCCTGGTTCTTCAAAATCCTCAAACCATATCTGTTTGCGCATCTTGAGTGTCATTGCCCCAATACTTTCTTGGTCTATGGGATTGAAGATGAAAAATCTCATTCACATCTGTCATATTTATCCCTTTAATAGATACTCCTTTACCAATTTTTGGGGCTCTGTCAACTGCAAATAGTTGGGTTCAACTACTGCTTGGACTGAAAGCTGTAGAGCCAAACAGCTACAGCTAAATGCATTTTTTTGATGATAACATTTTTACTTCAGACTGTTTTTCCTACTTACAACTATACAGATTTTTAAAGCACAACTGGAAGCAGATTCTGCATGACTATACCTTAGTTATGCATGATTATACTTTTTTAAACTATAACTAGTTTATCAGCTTCTTCCCTGATACACAGTCCTGTCACATTCATTCCCCCAAAATGCCGAGGACTCTAAATCTCTAGTTGTGAAGGTATTTTTTCTTCACATAGACCAAGCTAGAAATTCCAGAGCCTTTAAAATGTATTATTTTTTGTCCTTTGTATGTTGATCAGTTGTGTTTGTTGTAATGAGGCAAGCACTAGAGGAGTGTACAGTATGTGGTGCATCATCATGTACAGTATGACAAAACTGTAATGCTGCTATCACTACAGGAAAGTAAAAAAGTGTACGTGAGCAGAGAATCAGGAGTCGAGGGCCAGCACCGGAACTGTTAATGGCCAAAAGAGGGGAGTAAACTGAGTTTGAGGTTACTCGTTGAAGAAGAACCAAGAGTGAGTCCACTACAGGCCTGGAGGAGGCAAAGATGACAAATATAAAGTCTTAAGAATAGATAGATACTTTATTGATCCCGTGAGGGAAATTGCAGATTGCAAATTGCAATACTGAGCACACAAGACTTCTGTTTCTTACAGGATTGAAATGCTAAGTACTAAAAAAGAGCATGTAGAGCTGTGGACAGCCAAGCACTATTTATACGTACTGCAGATGAATAGAAGGAAAAATTTGAATTGACCGTGTTGTTGCAGTATGTGACTTTCAGAACAGTATAACAGTATTAAACTACATAGTGTAGAATACAGACTTTTTTTACACAATTTTTTTTCCTCAAATAAGAAAACCTTCAGGTTTGTAAAAAATAAGGAAAAATTAAGGAAAAATCTAACTCTGCCTTGCATTCAAGCTCTGGAGCTTTTGTTTTTATTAAGAAAATAAGTCCAGGACGCAGTTTATTGTGTTAAAATGGGTATCTTCTGAAAAAATCCAGTTGGCACATATTTTTTAACCATGAATGGCTAGAAAAAATGGGTCAGCTAAGCTATTTTTAAGTCAAAACATTTCTCTTTCAGCAGCCAAAAGTTAAGCCTTTTGGAGCGTGTCCGTCAGTCTAATCCAAGAGCTTCAGCCATTAAGGGCAAGTTGTTTATGCCAATGAGCACAGACACCATTGAAGAGAGCCCATCCAAGGAACCTAAGCCAGGGGGCTTCAGTAATAGAGAGAGATTCCGCACTGCCTTCCGCATGAAAGCATACGCCTTTCGACAGAGCTCAGAAGGTATGTAACGTAACACATTGCATTTCCAATCTGTCTGTAGTAGCCAGCGATTCCTCAGTGCAGCAACAAATTTACCCACACGTTGAATAGGACTCCTCTGATGCACCTACCCATCTTTTGACAAGCTGGTCCTCTGCAATATCCAGACGGTTCAGTACTGGTGTGGGAACAGGCCCATCCCTCATGGCACCACCACAAACATGCAGTGGCCTTGGACGTTGCAGGCATTCCTATTCCACTAGGGTGTGAAGGTGTCCTGGTCAATTAATCCCAAACCTACTCCCGATGGTAACTAGTGACTGGCAATGTGTGGATCATGGATACTGTGTAACTTTTTCATGTTCTTTATCACTCAAATCTGTGTATTTACATCTGCCGCAGTTGGATAGTTCAGTTCAAACTCCTCACTGTCTATACTGTACCAAAAGGGGGAAATAGAAGCAGTTCAATTTTGATATTGGCTCTAGAAATCATGTATATTCCTAGCTTCTAGGTTTCAGGATTTTTCTTGGTGGCATCTGCTTTAACCTTGCAAAGAAAAAGAAAATTGCCAAAACTGCAACTCAGTTGACCTTAGGAAAAGCAGACACCGGTGCATTTCATCACCATTAAAAACTTTTCTCAGATGCTGCAGCTTTGCCTGATCCTGCATGTGAGGACAGGGGCTTTCCAAGTGACCTAATACTGGAAGAGATGATACCTACTCTAAAGACCGTTATCAGGGCTGTGAGGTAAGAAAATGACCACTGATTGTTATTTAAAAAAAACAATATTTGAAATGTTTCATAAAGATGCTGCTGTCTTTTTTTTTAAAGCTTTTTTAGGCATTCAGCCATTAAGTACCTATCTGCATAAATTGGTACTTGTTTAAATGTTACAATGCTTTTGTGTTCAAGATGTTTCTTTCCACATTCAAAACAGCACCTTTTTTTTCCATAACATAAGATCAGGGATTTTTTGGAAGAACCCTTTCTTTTTGAAAGACATACTGTTTCCTTCATAAGACACGTCAGTTCTCCCTAAGCTAACGAAGGGTTTAGTTTTAAAAGTGACATTGTTTATTACCGCCAAAAGCAAGGATTTGAGAGTTTTCCTTTCCAAGGCCACTGAACTTCTTCTAATTCTAGTTCATAATTTAAATGTACTCTTTTTAACACTTGCTTTGACATGTTAAGGTACATTTTATAGATTTTCTTACTCCTTCAAAAAAGGACTTGCTCTAAGTGTTTTTTTTAATGGCAGTGTTTTAACAACTCCTGATTGCTTTGCAACAGAATTTTGAAATTTCTTCTGAACAAAAAGCGATTCAAGGAGACTCTGAGGCCTTATGATGTGAAGGATGTGATAGAGCAGTACTCAGCTGGGCACCTTGACATGCTGTCTAGAATCAAATACCTCCAGACAAGGTAAGGCTCTCTTTTGCCTTTTTATTGCTGCATCACAGCTCTTGGATCCTGTGTTCTATTCCAGACTGGAATACAGACTTTATAAGCATCCCTGGTGACTGTGGAGAATCTGCATGTTCTCCCTCTTTGTGTGGGTTTTCACCAGTGTGCTCCGGTTTACTCCTCCCTTTCAATCCTTTCTAGCTATGTTATTCGCTGTGTCTAAATTGTCACCCTGTGCTTGTGTGTGCCTTCTGTGATGAAGTGACATCCTATCCCTGGTGTAGCCCCTAAATGCACCATACACAGTACAACCAGGATAGACTCTGGGTTGCCTCAACCCTTACCAGCAATAGGTGGCTTTTTGATAATAGTGGAATGGTTTATTTCTGTAGTTACAAACAGATCTGCCATATTTTAACAACCCCATCTCATTTGCCATCTGCAGATGTGAACCAGTGCGATATACACCAGTTTTCTTCTTGAAATAGTGAACACAATGCACAGTTCAAGGCTGTTGGATACTTATTTCTATCATTGCTGAGGTTCGATGTTAATCTGGCAAAACTCTGCATTAATACTCCTGAAAGGGTGAGGACAAGCCTACATGGAGAATGGAATCTGTTGTAAAATGCTACACTGTCTGCCCCAAGGGGCTGATACAGTCTATTTACCTGCCACCTCTTTCTCATGCTACAAGGATGTTTATGGGTGTGCCAACATAGAACTGTGTGTTGCAGAAAGATGAGGCCACCATCATTATTTAAGTTTTAGTCTGAATAGTATGAGATAAAATCTTCAGAGGTCTACTCCAGAGGTTTACTCTGCAGGATGTAGATGTTTATGCAGTCCTTATATGATTGAAATACTTTTTATTCCGTTAAAAATGCATCTTAAATTTGGTATTGGACACCTTTAAATGCAGATTGTGAAATGCGGCATGCAGTCTATTATTCTTAAAACTTTTGGAATATAATTCTTGTGATCTTATGGTTTTGCCTAAAGGGAATTTTATTTGGAATCAATGTGATCCAAGCTTAAATGTGTGGGTGAGCATATGCAGAAGATGGGAATGTCATACAGTCTTCAAAAAATGAAGCAGCATGTAAAAAATAATACAGGAACTCCTTTATAGGGCTAAACCGAGTTATATTTCACCTTGAGAAAAGGTATGAAATTCTCTTAGTTTCCCCAGACTTCAGGATTGTAGACTATGTAAATCGAGTGCTCTTCTATGATTACAAGAATTCTTTGGCTTACATAAATAAGAACAGGCAGATTGGAAGTAGTCAGTTTGGTTATGAGAACCACAGTGTTGTAGGAAACGTGATGCGTGAAAACAAACTGTTCCTTTAGTATGGGAACCAAAAGCCTGTCAATGACATCACTGTTTCTTGCTTTTATTTACCCTTCCAGAATAGATATGATCCTGGCCCCTGGACCCCCTTCAACCCCAAAACATAAGAAGGCCCAGAAAGGACCCTTTTCCTACCCTTCCCAGCAATCTCCTAGGTTTGTCTCTGTTTTGTTGGAAACCCCCTTTTTATTTTTTATACTCTTGTGTTCTTCAAAACTTTTAGAAAAAAGTCATTATATTGGTGTGATAGATGTCTTCAAGTGTAATATAAAAGTCTGTGAAAATCTCTTGTGTGGTTATTTGTATTTGTAGATAAATTGTGTGAAGTGCATTTTTCAAGTCTTATGTGCTCCCAATATTGCATTGTCTTGGTCCAAAAGACACTGCCTTTTTATTGCTCTTCTTTTCATAAACTAAATAATTTTTATACAAATCAAATAAGGATTAATTCTGTTCATGGCTGCTTTTTTACCAGCTTGACAAGGTAGTTTATGTTCCTGTTCATTTATGAATAATGGAAATGGAGCTTTATTTGTCCTGTAAGTTTGAAATATAGTCAAGGAACAAGTAAAGGTTTATTCCATGTTGAAAAGAAAAGAAACACAATGTTTCGGCTGTGGAGCCTTCTTTTCTTTTCAGCATGGAATAAACCTTTACTTGTTTCTTGGCAGCCTACACATGCTGACACAGCTACCTACTTGAAATGTAGTCAGGCACGTAACAGTGTTATGCAATGCACATCACGGGGAGATTTAATAAAGAATTTCTAAATTGTAATGTAAAATTGAAAAAGGACAAAATTGTATACCACCTCTCATTTTAGATTGCTTGAGAGTTTAACCGCTTTTATGTGGTGTGATTATTTTTCAAACAAGCTAGAGTTTCTCCATTGCTGATGTTTTTGTTGCAGATATACAGAAATGCCTACAATACAACACTAATTAGCCCTGTAACTGGAAGAGTAGATGCATTTTACTTTTCTTTTTCACAGACACGATCCCTACATAGCCAAAGCATCAGGACCAGAGGCAGAAGACCAAAGCATGATGGGAAGATTTGTGAAAGTTGAAAAACAGGTAATTTATGAAGCAGGATTTTTCAATTGTGATCGCGGAGCATCTTCTTGTTTCCTTTCCAACAAGAGCTAAAGGTACTCAACCACTAATAAGCTAGTAATATGGTTATTCAGATGATTCAAAGTCTTTTCAATATCTGAACTATTTGAGACAATTCACTCTTAGGCTTAACTTAAGGTTTTCAGAGCTCATTTGGAAAAGAAAATAGAAGATCTAAACTGCCTTGAAATCTTTTCCATTCTTATTAATACTCCTCCATGTAGTGTTTACAGTCTAAGAAATGTACACCGTTCTTCTTTTCCAGGTGGAGCACATGGAGAAGAAGCTTGACTTCCTGGTTGACATGCACATCCAGCGCATGGACCACATGCAAGTAGACCCCGTAACAAACGAAGTGGCAGTAGATTCTTGCATTCCCCAGAGCCACACTGCAGAAAAAGAGGACAGCCGCTACACAGAGATCAGGAGGGTGTTCTTCAACTATGCGGAAACCTGTCCTCACATGTCCTTTCAGATCCCAGTGAGCAAGGTGATGCCTTATGGCTTCTTTCAGAAGGAGCCAAGTGACACTGGGTTCCCCGCAGATAGGCCTGGATGCATTATGCTACCTCCATCAACTGTCCCTTCCTACATGGAGAGACCCAGTGTTTTACCTATTAGCACACTGATGGACACCAGGAGGGACTCTGATGGTGAGTTCCAAAGCCCATTCATGGATTATTTGTCACCAAGGCAGGGGCGGACTGTGGTGAGGGACACGGACACTCCTCTGTCACTGCTGTCCGTCAACCATGAAGAACTGGAAAGGTCTCCCAGTGGCTTTAGTATCTCTCAAGACAGAGATGATTTGACTTTTGGGCCTTGTGGAGGAGGTTCAAGTTGGATGAAGGAGAAGCGGTACCTAGCAGAGGGTGAAACAGACACTGACACTGATCCTTTCACACCTAGTGGGCCTCTTCCTTTGTCATCCACGGGTGAAGGGTTTCCTGATTCAGTATGGACCACTCCCAGTAACCCCAATTAGCAGGGCGTCAGTGAGGGAGGGCTGCACATGGGTCAAATGGTGTAAGACAAAAGAACTGACCACGATATGTAAAGTATACACAATTTGTACAGTTCACCTCATTGAGAAGTTAAAATCAATCACCCAAAGCTTTATCGCTGCAAAGCAAACGGCACTGCATGTAATGCATGCAAATTTAGTGGTAGACACTACAAAGTTCAGGTAATGAATAAAAAGAACAAAATGTAACATTAATAATGAAAGCTATACCATTTCATAACATTTTTTAAATAAAGGTTTCTTTTTTGTTATTTTTTGTGCATGGTTTGCATGGAGCTGCACCTTTTAGAGAAAGGGTTAAACCAAATTTCTTCAGCTTTATAATACAGTACATGTGGCTTAGATGCTTACTTTTCGGTCAGAGACAACGTGTAAAGTGTATTTTAGTTTTGGTGCCTTTTTCTGTTCAGTGCACCATGGATCAGCCTATATACTTCCTAACCTTGCTTACATGACTTTGGTTAAACTTTGTTAAGATGCAGTATGCACTTGTTAAAATAGCAACTTCCAGTACTTTAAGAACAGTCAAAGAATTTTCACAATTTTTAAATAATATTTCAAAAAACAAAAAAAGGGGGAGAAGTGAACATTTCTGCAACTTTGTGGTGTTTGTTATTTCAAAAATGGTGTTCTGTGCATTCCCAAGTGCATCCAAAACAGTAAGTATCACCTTCCATGAAAACTGTTTCGTTACAAAAAAGAAAAGTTTGGAAAAAATGTCTCCAACACCACAAGAAAGGGTTGTACTAGTAGAAGTATATTGGGGTACTGTCTATTAAAAAAGGAACATTGTAAGAGACATTGTAAACATTAGCTAATTCCAGGCCTTAGAAACCATTCATACAGTACCTGGATTTGTCTCAAATCAGTTACAAATCAGTCTCCAATAAATTATATTAAAGTCAACTATGCTTAAGATCACACATGAACACTCACATAGTCTAGGTATTTAAGTACCTAGAATATTTGAGTGTTACCATACTGTAAGTGATTAGATGGTTTTTGAAAAAAGTAACCCCTCCTCCAAATCGATCATGGTAATGGCCAGGTAAAAACATGAGATGAAACAATTGAAAAGGAAAAATACCAGAAACACAGAGTCAAGATAGGATAGAAAATATGAACAAATACATTTGACAACTACATTTCTTATATATACAAGATCATATGTTTTTATATTATGATCCTTCCCATCACACTGTTAAAACTATTGCCATGGGTTTTAAAGTAGATAAGATTCCTTAAATATGTTAAGTAAGCTAAAATAAAAAAGTATGACTCAAAGATCAAGTATCAGGGTTTTGAAAAGTACATCATTCGGGTCTCCTCAGCTGTCAAAGTAAAATACTTCATGTACTTGCGTTAACATTTCTTTTTTATTTTAACATTGAAAGCTTGAAGGTGATCTCACTGCACTTTTACAATGTCCTCTCTATGCATTATGTTTTCAGTAAAGGGGGCACGGCATTCCCTTTGACTCACTAAAATGCTACAAACAAAGAAGCACTTTGGGTTTCTTGTTTCCTATGACATTATTGCTGGTATTGCTGTGTTAATAGCTCAGTAATCTCGGCAACAATGAACCAAGATGCTCGTTTTTTTCTTACTGTGGGTCAAAAAACACAGTAGGACGTGCAATGCCCCCTGCAATGAAAATAAAATACTGTTTGCCTCAAAGCATGTCTGCTTGAATACTTACTGTATTGTCTCACTTCAATATCAATATCATCTATTCAATTTTTTTTCATCTGGAAAGCTTGAATTATGCGTGAGGACTTCTGGAGTGGATTGTAGTTTTTCTCTCACCTGTTGATCCTAAATCAAGAAATGTGTTGCAAGTTGTAAACGTAACTTCCAAGTTGTTGGCTTTTATCATCACTTGAAATGTTAGTAGTTTGCACAGGCACCTACAGAAATTTTCACTTGTATCCTGATTATTTTTCAGTTACATAGATATATTTTAAAAAGCATACTGCATGTTATAAAAGCAGAACAGGATACTCCAAATGTGAACCTTTTTAAAATGTATCCAAGAAAACTACTTTGCGATCATTTCCTCTCTGCACAGTGTCTGAAAAATGTATTCACCTTCATCTTTCAGGCTTCCTTATTGATCGTCATGCAGTTGATTAGATAGAATGGCATATTTTAGCTACAGTACATTGACTGTTTTTCCAAATCATTTCCTGGCACATTTAAATTATTTTTCTAATACCTTGAGAAACTAGTATATCCTAACAACCTTTTATTATCTAGCGTATATATCATGTTGAATTATAGAATTGCACTGAAAAGGAATGGAAAATTCATACAGTAAATCCAGCTCTGGTCAAGTAGAATTCCCTGAATTTGTCTTGCACAAAGGGAATAGTAATAACAAGCTTTTCAGTGATCACCGTGCACTTTATAGTTTTTTTTTTTTTTCCACTGCATCTGCATTAACTGTTAGATTCAATAAAGCCATGGAAGTCTGTTATTCACATTCCATTTCTGTTTTGTAATTTGTCATTTATTTTAGTCAAATAACCCCAAAGTTTTAACATTGAACCTGAAAAACAAATATGAATTAAAATATATAATTTCTTTTAAAAAAGGCAAAACAAACCAAGAATAAAAATATCCAAAGATGTAAGGTTATTTACCTATAATCTACAGTAATACTTGTTTCATAACCAACTAAAATAAAAAATAGTGGTTTAATTCCTAACATTTGAATAAACATATTTGAAAATTGAAATCTTCATTTACTGTTCTAAATGTAGGAGGTTTTCACGTTTCCTCAGATGTACCAGAAATACTTTCTGAAATAATAAAATCATGTTTTTGCTGAAGAAAGAAGAGTTTTCTTAGGTTACATTAAACTGGTGAGAGGAATCTAACAAATCTACACTGATGTCATTTGTTTTACATTTTGAACGGCTTTGATTCAGATTTGCATGTTGTTTTACATATCAGTTTGCATTGCTAATCAAATATATGCTTACTGTCTATACTTATACAATATAAACTAATGTTTCCCCAAGCACCTTAATACCTTTATTGGATATTATTGGAACCTCCTTCTCTGTTTGTATATAAAATATACAGTACAAATTAATTTAATTGCTGGAGTATTATTTTCTTTTATTCATTTTTATTTTATTTACAAAGGCAAATCTGTGTATTTCATGTTCATAATTATAAAGCACTGATTGCTAAAAGAAGAGGCTTAGTTTTGGAAAAAGGATGCCTTTGAAATGCTTTTTAGCCTGTACAGTAAAAGGCTTTTCTGCTTTAACAATGTAGGTGTTAATAATGCAAAACTTGTAATATCAGCTAAAGAAAATTGTCTACAACATTTTTATAACTAGATGCTATCTTGTATTCCTAGATAATACAAAATTTACTAAACCACCATGCTATTCAGTCTGGCATATTACTTGTACTGGTCTTCCAAATATATATATATATTGAAGAGCATATCTTGAAGCCTGCTCTCTGCAGGCACAGAATGATTTTCTTACACTTGACAATGTCTTGCAGAAAGAAGACAACTAAACCTTAATTGTAGCTCTTCTCTTTGACAGAACAGTATATATTGCAATGAACTTTTTTCAGCCTGTAAAATGGTATAGAATCTTGTTATTTAATATAGGTAAATATCTGTATTACACTGCCTTTTTGTATAGTACGTACACTAAACTCACCTGTGTTTTTCTCTTTAATTAAAATTCTATGTACATTTTAGACACGTGTGCCACACCTCTTTGTCGCACAACTACAGTACCTGTCATGGTGCCACAAGTTTGTCTGAGAAGGAGCTGTTTTGAGTGTTCTTACCAGCTTTCCAAGACTGGATGAATTGCGCTTTTTCATTGGTGATGTATCTCCCTCTGCTGCAGTTCGGCTGAGTGTCTTCTTCATAGTTCTTCAAAGTTATTAATGAAAAAGCCATAAATGTCTTAGAAGACGGATTAAAAATCAGGTTATTTGGGGCCATAAGTACCTGGCAGGACACCACAAAATATTAACAAAATATCAAACACTTAATATTCCAAAAGTAACCAACAGCCTGCTGCAGTAGTTAAGGTTTAGTTGTTGTTTAAAATAACTTTCAAGTGAAATGTGCAGTACACTTATGTTCACACCTCGCAAAACCTGTAAAATGGGGCATATGACTGATATAAAGTAATTGTGCCTTGCCCTCTCAAACTTTCTCAAAATAGCCAATAATATGTACCACTCCTCTCTGTTCGCTTTATTGAGCTTTCTCTGTCATTTTTTTATTTTTAAACAATGGGAACACAACTTTTCTACAAGTGGCCTTCAGTGCTATGTATGGTTTTCTTCATTGTAATTTTTAAAAGTACTTGTAATTTATATTCTGGCTTTGTCCAGTTTTAATATGTTCATTTAAGGGTATAATATGCAACTGGTATTCTTACTTGATTTTTTATGTTTTGTCTCTACAATTGCAACAGTTACTAATAAAGAGAAATCAAAATACAACAGTATTCTGGAGGTTTAAATTAAAATGTAACACTTTTACTGTGTATTGACAGATGTGCAGCAAAATACATATTTATCCATCTAGTGTACAGTACATAAAGTAGAGACAACTGAGGCAATTGTCTCAGACGATGTTGAATTACATACTGTACTATATGTTGAACAAGCTGTGATTCCTGCAGTATGATGGACGGGTATAGTTTGAGCCTTCTGGATCCTCCAGCTGCTGAAAGACCAGGAATTTCCAGGTTCAGCAATAGGCACTGTGGAGTGGAACATGTTGGGGATCTTAAAGTTGGCTATTATCCCATACGGCAGCACATCAATTACCACAGAGGATGCACAGCCCTGTGGCCACTTTGTACAAAGTTCTTGGTTAAAGCCAGTTCCCAGCTTTAGTCCAAGAAGGTCAACAGGTACCCCCTTCTGGTTCTTCTACGAAAGGGAATGTGCACTAGTTTCATTCTGTGTTACTCACACCTAGTACAGTAGGTCCAGTTCTGGGTGCCATCAATGGAAACATAAACAGTGCTACCACAGGGGTTTTGCTGCCTCAAAGTGTCTTTCACTTTGTAGGGTCCACATTGCTTTCCATTGCAGACTTGTGTGATGATTGGGGCCTGATAGTTCCTTTGAGCAGGCTCCAGGGAATTCATATAGCTAGGATTTGCAGCTGGGGATGTGCTGAGTCCCCATGCCATTGTTATCTAAAACCCTAAACATTGTGGCAAAACTTTCAGTAGATGAATTTGAGAGAATTCTCCAGGCACCCAATTTCCCTGCTCCCAATTCCTACTGTGCCCTGTGCAATCTAGGAAGCTGAGTGTAAGAAAACATGAATCACAGATGGGGGTCAGTGCCGGACTCATGCTCCGGTTTTCATCCTGCAGTGTGAAATTCCTCAGAGAAGCATCAGATGCAGCTATTACATGACCTCATAGAGTTTCCCTTTGCTCTTCTTGAGCAGCATTATGTTAACTCTTGGGACTTTGGTAAGCTGTTGTTCAACTAACACGATAGTGACCCTGCTTTTGACTTGAGCAATCAGTCAGAAACCCCTGATGACACGCAGAACATGCACACTGTTCCCTTTGTCGACATGGCCCCTTAGAACAGCTGTTGGCTCAAAGAGGCTTCCCTTCTTTCCACCTCTTCATTAAAGTGACTTGGCATCACACATTTCCAATGGTTTAGACCCCCCTGGCTTCTTCAGTATGCTTCCTCATTCTCCCAACTCCATCACTCACCTGCGTGTTGCTTCTGTTCTCTCTGCCTTCCACAACACCTCCTCAAGACTGCCAGACCCAACCTCTCCTACAACTTCTTGGGAAAAGATGTGTGCTTCCTGGCCACGTTCCGTTTGCAAGCTTTTACTGACAGTGAGAAAGGAGGTCCACACTGCCACAGTCATGAAGATACAGTAGCAGTCCATTGTCTTGAATAAAGGATGCAGTGTCACTACTTATGTTTAGCAGCACCTGCAATACCAACCCCATAGCAACTCCACCACCTGCAATATGTTTTAGATACAGTATCACTCCATAAGGTGCCCACTCTCCACCATGTCCAACTGTACCTTTAACTGTATGCCTATCAGGGTGCAGTTCTATCGAATTCAGTAAGGCCGATCTCATCTGCTGATATCTGTAGGTGCTGGTAGAATGTTGAAATGAGCTCAACACCCATGGTGAGGGGCAGTGGAGACTCCTCAGTTTTTTTGTTTTCCAAGTCCTTACTATGAATCCTGAAATATTCAGGATTATTTAAAATGTGTATACTATAAATAATTTGTAATTCCAACAAAATGGGACGTCATTGGAAGTAGGTGAATATTTTTGCTTATACCGGCCACAATTTTAAGAATGATCACTGGACAAAAGTAATGGGTTTTTGCAAGAAGAGTTCAGGTAAAAAAAAAAATTGGTGAGACTTTAGAGTGGAATATAAAGTGAATCACATATATTATTTACATTTACAAACATTAGGATTACATGACAGGAAAAGCACCACCTTTAAATACAGTATAAAATTGTTAAGGCTTTCTTATCTGAAATGGTTTTGCTGAAAGAAATATAAAGTTACGTTTTACCTCTTGAGGTAAGGTAAGTAAATGGAAAGGACGCACAATCTTTACTGAAACCTCCTTTCTGACTAGCATACTGTAGGTAAAATCTTAGATTCTTCTTAAACATCTGAGAGTTACAACTGGCCTTTTGCGGTCAGCCAAATTCAGGCAAGTCAATACCAAATACCACAGCAGACCACAAGGTCATACAGAGCAAAGTAATGTCATCCAAAAGCACAAAACGTGTTTTCTGTGAGAGGCTATTCAACACCACCATCAGTTGATTATTATGGTGGAGTATTACAGTTCCCAAAAGACTTGGCAGTAAATGAATCTATCCAAATTCACTACTTTAATGTTACATTCTTGGCTGAAATAGAGTGACTAGCTAAACCCTTAAGTTAACAACAACAACAAAGAAAGTTTTGAGAAATGCAGTCATATTTTATGACACACAGTAGCTTAGGAAGTTGAAGTGATAATGCTATGAATGCTGCATACACTATTTTAATTATATGTTGCTGAAACTTAAACTTCAGCACATTTTCAACTCCTGCAGATAAATCCCTCTTTCGGGTGAGATCTGGATAGGAAATTTCAAAGACTGGATAGTCTGATTGGCTCTTGATTGCCTCTTTCTCCATGACCTTATGGTGGACTGCGTTCTGTTGAGACTGACAGTAATCCTTTAGTATTCGCTCTGCTTTGTGCCCTGTTCTTCTGCTCTGCTGCCACTACCCTCACCAGGATGAATGACTTTCAGATACTGTATTTGATGGTTGAAGAAAGAGGTAGATAAAATACGGATCATTGTTTTATTCCAAACCAATCAAACTGAACTTTCTCCTCTTCTTACAATAGAGTGACAATTATTCCTGTAAATATTCTGCACAACCTCTTCACAAAAATACAGGAAAACATCTACAGTGCAATAGACTTTAGTTCCTATGAAGGAATTCCATACACTTTTGTGCTTTTTTAGCTCCAGAATGCATCTTAGAAGCAATACAGCTCAGTTTCTGAATGGGAAATTCTACTAACTACTTCTTAAGGAAAATTAGTAATTTAATACCAATTCTTTTTTTCATGGCTAATCGGTCAGTCTTTGATTGTTAGGGCTGTCATTTCTTTTTATGCAAATTAACCAGCGGCTATATATAAAGGTACATTCAGGTCCTTTAATGTCTCAGTTTTCCTCGAAAAATGTTCCCTAGTCACTAATGGTTCAGCACTATTTTATATGACTAATTAAGATTGTGTGCTTGTGAATCCAAGTGCCGGCTACTGTGACATTAAAGAAACCATTCAGTTTTCACTCTCAGAATAATTACAGCTCCAGGAGTTTCATATATCAAGTTGGCCTGTTATTAAGCCATTTATAATGTGATTGTAAAAGCGAAGTAGGACAGAGACTGCTCTCCACATGCTGGTGAGCTTGCTTCTGTGTAAGCTCCAGCCTATACAGTATTTCAAGATGAGATATTAGTAATTTAAATAAGACTGACGTTTTCATTCAGAGTTTATACAGAACATCATGGACTAATGGTGTCATATCTGAAATGGAATTCCAATTTTAATTCAGAAGGGAAAATCTGACAAGGTAAGTTCAATTTACATGCAAATTAATAAAAACACCTGTCTTCCTCATAGCAGAATAGATGCTGATTTTCATTTATTTCTTTCAATTAAAATTAAATTATATGAAACAATACCTCTACTACTGCTAATAATTGTTCTGCTATGAAAACAGTATCATTTTAAGGTTAAATGTAGAATGCTATTTTACAGCAGTACTTTTGTTGTTCTTTTTTTGTATAAAGAATAGAATTTCCAATGTGTCTGTCAGATTTACAGTTTTACATAAACATTCTCCAGGACAATCTAAATATTAATGTACCACACTTAAGAGCCAATAATGGTTTTATGAATATACTGTACAGTATAATAATTAAATACCATATATATGTTAAGAAATTCTCTATAGTAAAATGGAGTAAATTTTTTCTCCCATTTTGTCTTGTGAACTTGTTATACTTTATGTTGAAATTTAAAGTATCACCTCCTTGTGAAATGTTATGTTCTTTTCTTTTTTTTTAGTTAAAAAATGTTTATCTGGTAACAAATATGTTAAAAAACTGTAAGAACATTTTGTAAAACATGATATATCTAAGGTATTGCCTTTTTTACTGCTTCTGCTCAGTGCCAGATATTTTGATCCTCTTAATTTTGAATTTTGTCTTTTGGAATTTCCTGTGTAGCTTTTACTGTGATAATCATCCTATTTTGAGAGCATCTACAAACCCATCTGAATTAAGATATAAATCGAGAAAAGCAGTGGTCCTTATCCCTGTGAGTACTCTGTTGATATTCTGCTAATCGCATCACCCCATTTGAAAATTAACCTTTCATCTGTATCCTTTGTCTATTCATTAAGGTGTTCTGAATTCAGACACAAGTATTTCATTGAATGCTTACTGTCTGCAATTTGAGTTTTAATTATTTTAATAGTTTGATTAGATCTTAATGAATGTGATAGAGAGATGAACATATTCATTTTTTCTGGTATAGTTCAGCTACTTGACAAAATGGCAGTCTGACTCTGAGGAGGGGGATGATCCAGTCCTCCTTCACTTTCACAAAGAAAGAGCAGGGGACCTGTTGAAGAGTGTAGATGGAGTGTGAGAGAAATGTGCAAGGAAAAGTCCATAAGGCAAAATCTATAAACACATATACAAACTGTATGTACTGTAGGACAACGGAAATAGGTGAGGATTTAATCTGCATCCTCATTGTCTGTTGCGAATTTCATTCAATAGGAATTCTATCAAAAGCCTTCTGAAAATCTAAATATACCATATCATATAATCTGTTTATTTAATCTCTTTAGTATCTAAACATACTATGTCATATTATCTGTTTATATACTGTATGTAGGTACACAATCCATGTATAAAGTACATGTTGTATACTGCAATATATTGTACCAAGCAAAAGAAATCAGAACCAATGAGCTGAAAAGGAAACAAGGAATAGTATAAATTTACAATAAAACAGGATAGTACTGTACCAATGCAGGTCAGTGATACAACTGGAAGGTAAATTTATAGATAGTAGCTTCCCTTTCACACTTGCAGTTTCATCTAGGTTTGACCAGTATCAAATGGGTCAGTTAATGATCTATCACACTGCAGTTTAAACAAACACAGTCGACCCAGGTCCAGAAACAGATTACAAGCTCTAACTCATTGAAGAAGGAAATTGTGCTGACCTCTGTGTCCTGTAGAGAAGAAACTGTCAGATAAGTGATAATCCAGTAAAAGTGTTTTTCACTTCAAATGTTTTTTCAGACACCTACAGTATGTCATAGCAGTAGTATGTTTTTCTTTCTTGGAGCACTGCAGTTTTAAACAGACTGAATATATATTTTAATATTTTATTTTGAAATATGTATTTAATGTACATGCAGAAAGTCTTGTTTTACAGTAGCTGAATTTTTTCTGCAACCGCTGGATTGCCTGAAATCCATCAATTTACTTGCTGCTTTATCAAGTGTAGGGTCTTAGATAAGACTCAGCCTATCCCAACAAACAATTAGCATAAGGCAGGATACATCTGGTACAGAAAACCTGTCCATCACAGGGCAGACACTGACACAAACGTGCACACAGGGTCAATTTCCCAGAAGCCAATTAACCTACTAGTATGTCTTTGGACTGTAGGAAGAAACCAGAGCATCAGGAGAAAACCCACACAAACATGGGCAGAACATACAAATTCCACACGGACAGAAACCCCAGGCATTGAACCCAGGGCCCCAGTGCCGCAAGACAGAATTGTTCACCACTGTGCCACTGTGCCACCCTGTTGCTCAAAAAAACAAACAAAATGCACATAGATATTGCACATAAAACTTGACCTTTTTATGTGTTTTTTCTTGCTCAGTAAAGTAATACTCTTCTTGCTCAGTAAAGTAATACTCTACTCCATGAGGTGTTTACTGATTATCCAGCTCTACCTACTTACAGTATAAATCTCATATGAGCTTGCATGTTAGCGTTAACTCTGTCTCATGTATCTGTTAGATCTATGTAATCACTAATAAACATCAATCGATGTGACCTCAACCAAGAGTGAGGACCTCTAAAAACCAAAATGAACTGAATAATGAATACAACAGAAACATGTAATAAGTTAAAAAAACATTTCACTTTCTGCAGGATAGCTGCAACCAACTCATCATTTAAAATGACATGGTTACAGGAGCAGAGAAAACGTTGGTGCTACTGTGTTATAATGCGTGCTGCAATGCTTCTGCTCTTTGTTTTCTGCAACCACGGTAGGTCATCTTTCTTTCTACCTGAGTTCCTGTAATGAGAGTGCTACGGCACATGTACAAATTTCTCTCCCTCGCGTGCGACTTTTGCATCCCACCACCACCCCAACTCCACCTCTGCAGCTGCCCCTTGTGGAGGACGAGGAGGTCCTGGCCTCCTCGTCCTATGGCCAGGGGGTCGGCCCTCAGCCAAGCAGGTTAAGCCAAATATCCACCCAACAATAGTTTGTTACGCTTCGATTTTGGGGTGTTGTCATTCCTCGTGATTCAAGACTGTTCAATAATTTCCCTATTAGGCTAGCCTTCCATTATTTAACAAATGTTATTTGGTTGGGAATTATGCGATTCTTACCAGGACCAACAATACCAAAACACTTTCTTCGCTGTTACTACAGGAATTGCCACAAAATGGTTGTTTGGTTCCAATGTAATCAATAATAATACAATCAACTTTTTTAGCATTAGTGTTGTTTTCCATAGACTTTTATTTTCTCCCCTCCTCATGCCAAGTGCTGAAGGGTATGGAGATTTCCACTCCCCTCCCTTTTACCCCACTTTTGAACCCATGTGATTGTCAAAAAAGCACAGCTGAGGTATTACGCTTCTCTACATTTGACAACTTTAAATGTCTATGCTGTTTTACAGTTGTAGGAAAAGATTCTGGGAAAAATCTGGAAAGGAGAGAGCTTTTGGTTTCAAAAGGTAAACGATTTACGGCGAGGTCCACGTTCCTAAGTCATATTTGGTATTTCAAGGGTGTTCTTTTTTACATAATTTGCTTACGCAGTTTGTTTGCACTAGCAGATTGTAGTGTACATAATAAATTCATTGACATCCATTATTAGTTCTGTAATCTTTTAGGGGTTAGCTGGAGCCTAACCAGGCAGAAAATGGGTTCAGGAGAGGACACAACCTGGACACCAGTTCATTTCAGGGATTGAAAAAAACACAGAGGATGATTTAAAAACATGAATAAACCTATATTTCATTACCTATATTAACAACAGTGATCAGTGAGCACCATCAGTAATTACACAAATTTGACTAAGTATTTCAAGGTAAAACGGCACAATATAAAGGTTAATACAGTATTAATCCTATTTTAATTGTTCCATCAGTAATGGGACGTATTTCTTGAGCAATAGATTGCAGTAGCAATATAATAAAGATATAAACAAGAGAAAGACATGTACCCCATCTACTATAGCTTGTTTATTAGGTGGTAGCTAATTGATCCCAGGAATCTCATCTATCTGTTTAATGAAAGAAACCAGATATCAGCTTTCACAACATAGCTGAGCTTCCTCCTTTTCTCAGTATTAAGTGCACTTCCACATAGTTTCAATGGCTGTCCTCTGATTTGTGTTACCATGTTTATTCTGAAGAGATCTGCTGGATTGACTTTGTCAGTGCTTTGGAGGATTTTGAACACCACTTGGAGTCTTTACTGTAGGTCTCTGGGAAATGCTTTTTTCATATAGTAGGAAGCCCTGTGCTGCAGGACTTGCTATCTTTCAGATAGGAAGTTAAACAAAGACTATGAACACTTCTGCTTTTTTATAGAAGCAGGGGTTTAAAGAGCTTCACTACAATTAATTCCCAACTTTAAAGTGTATTTATTCGATAGTGAAGCATTAAACCACAGCAGTTAATAACAATATCTTACAGTGAAATGCACTACAGAAATATTTTTTTTACTGTGTGAATGCCATAAGCAGTATTACATCTAACACTGAGAGTTAATTCAATATTTTGCATATTGATAAAGAAAATTTACCGATTGTAGAATTTAAAAACATGAACATCTGCTACATCATAATGTCCTTTCCCATAAATAAAAGTGTGTATTGACAGACTGACAGTGCAACGAAGTTTGATTTCTCATACATTTTATGTCATTACAGTCATGATTTTAGTAAAACCTTTTTTTCTCCTAGAATTTTCGACTAACTACTTTGATCCCACTTCTATAGACCTCACAGATTTTGTCAATATATTACTAAATTCATCAAAAACTGGTAAGCAGTAACAATTTCTGTTTCTTTAGTCTGATGTTTGAATGAGCACAAGCAATTTAAACAACAAAGGGATAACAAATGTGCAATCCAATTATTGATCTTAATTTGAATGGAAATAAATATCAGCAACAACCAGTCCACAAGAGATTCCTTGTAGGAATAACCATCTCTAGTTCTGGGTTTCTTTGTTTAAATTGCTCATTTTCACACTTGATGAATTAAGCAGGTCTATTTGTATAATACGTACTAGTACCAGCAGAGACGTGTGGAGCAAGAGTACTACATGAGTGGATTCTTACAACTGAAACAATGCAAATCAAGCTGAATTAGTGTTGGGGATTTATCAAACTGCCTACAGAAGGCAATTACAAATGTACTTAGTGTCTCAACAGGTCTGTATTTATCTAGCCATGAAGCAGTCATTACCAAATTCATTTCCAAACTGAATGAGCATGAAGTAGAAATTTACATAAAATATTATGGGCACATTTGGAATACATTTTAATATGTTTATCTGCTTTTCATATAAGTCTTGTATTCCAATATGCATGATGGCTATCGTTACCATTGTCCTAGTATTATACTTCAATAAGGGTACTTTACACTATAAACTGAGAGAGTGAGAATTAAGCATTGTTATACTTTTAAAGCTTGGAATGCATTTTAAAGACATTTTAAACTTCCTATAGTTTGCTTTATTAGTATCCATTTCTGTAAAATTTACCATATGGTAAAATACTAATCAAAATGAAAATTGGAATTCAATCTTAAAGTTTGGTGTCATAAAAGTTTATATTAAAATAAGTTTTTCTTTTCTTCCTCACAGGTAGCAACTATTTGTTTTCAATGCTAAGTGTAACCTCACACAGTTCTCTGGCTCTCCATAAAATTACAATTCTGGTGTATAACAGTAAGTGTGGTATGCATTTCCTGCCTTAATTTAGCATTTTATACCTTACAGTATAGTGTATTTTGCACAATACAATGTGCAAATGAGACCCTCTGCTTAAGTCATTTTGGAAGGTCAAAGCAGATGGGTAATACAAAAGGTTTGCAGTTTCTTTTACAGTAAAATGCTTAGTTTGGGATAGTTTAGTCTACTTAATGTAGACTTTTGAAACTGCACAATCAATACTAGTTAAGTTGTCATGTCATTAGAATTTTCCTGTTGTTTAATCATTTATATTATTCACATGCTTTATTTGCATTTACTGTAGGAGTGACTGACTGTGTTTTTCTTATTCCATCTCTGAATGCATAGTTTGGAAAGGGAATTATCCAGCATGCATGATACCAGACTATGATCAATGCAGTGCCATTCAGTCACATTATCATAAATCACTACTTGTGGAGTTTATATAATAACATTTTTCTACCTTCCCATCCACCTGTCTGTTGTACTAAACAATTAGTTCATCTTTCCATACATACTGTACATGCCACTAAGAACTCAGTCACGAACAATCCATTAATCAAAACAGTGCTAAACGTACAGTATACAATATTCAAAATATCAAAAGTTTATTTTGATGCTCAACAGATAAATTAAACATACGAACATGCCTTTACATCTTTTTTGGGTTACAGAAATAATCATTTTCCTTTTAAAGTTTCTGATTTCAGGAATATTGAGCCAAGCACGTTCCCAATGAGATACTGCTATTGTTTCACCAATAGAACAAATGATTTAACAGGTAAGTGGTATCCGTTGGTCATGACAGTTTATTCTCATCAAACAGAAAAAGTTAAGACTTTATTTTAAAAACTAAAATATTTGTTAATATATACAACAATCTTCCATTAACCCGGTATGTATCCTGTGAAATGAGTCTGCTTTTAATGATTCCTACCAATAAAAGTGAACTACGAACACAAAACCATATCAGGTCAGGATCAGGTCTTAAGATCCCATGTATTTTTTACTCAGGTGAATCTTTGCATTTACACACGGTACATTCCAGCCCTATTGTCACCAAGCATATTGAGTTAACATATTCTCACATGTATAATTATCATACGTACTCTTTTCCTCAAATATGCAACTCCCTCTGCCACTCTCAAAATTGGAGGAATTGACAGAAGAACATATCGCCTGTTACGCTGGGATTGGAATAGAATCATTTGTTATGTACAGTAATACCACAACACATCTTATAAAGGCAAAAAGCTACATTGTGAGTTTTTGTTACATTTAAAAAAAAATATGGATATATAATAGCTAAATTATAATAGCTCAATCACAGTGTAAGGGTCAAACATATGAGGTTAATTATAATGTTAATCTCTTTACTATTGTCTGATTTTCAGCCAAATCCCGTCTAGTCCAGAAGTTATGCATGACTCCAGAATTGGTTACTCTTAGTTAAAGAAGGTTTATTTTCAGATTTCACTGCCGTGTTGTTGGATATAATGGAAAATTCCACAAGCTATCTTCAAGAGCTTTTTAAATCTAGCTCCATATTATCTGGTAAGTTGTCAGTTTTTTAGTAAGTAGTAGTTTTTAAGTGTTAATAAGAATTTTTAGATGTCATGTTATGTTTTTACTACAGTACAACAAATTGATGACACAGATGAAAAACAAAGCTTGGTATACTGTATCTCATTATTTCAAAAGACAGCTGTCAAGGACCACTTATTTTCTAAACATGCACACACTGACTTTGCACCAATTAATTTAAATCTTCTTAAAATAGGGATTCTAAGCTACAAACAGCATCGCCAATTGTGTCCCCAGAGGAATAAAACATGAATTATCTTTTTTTCACCTGCAAGTCTTACTGGACAACAGGGCTATGCCAAATGCAGAAGTTTACAAATCTTTCTTGACACCAACATATTCCAATTTATAGGGTACATTTAAATCCTACAGAAAGTTAGAATTCGAATGGCAGTTTTTAATTAAAAGAAAGGCCAATAAATGTAAATTAATAATAATGTCTGACACCTTGTGACTAACCCATGATGTAAGCCAAGAGGCTCAAAGTACTTCATTGCAGAAAACTGTAAAAGAGAAATACAATACAAGAGGGAGCAGCCCAAAACTGTAAAACTACAGGTCATGTACAGTGTCACTAACGATGTTGAAACAGGCTTTAAGAGACCCACAGTAACATGTGTAACAGTACACAGTCAAGGATAGGCTACGCTTCCAACCAGAACTTAACAAATACAAACTGCTACACTATCTGCACCAGGTTCAATACTCTAAACTCTGCCATTGGCTCCCCTGTTGAATAGGTAAGATTCCATTCGAACCAGAGGCGAGTGAGGGTCTGTAACCTGAAACACAATCATGGAACATACCACACAAACACAGCAACGAGAGTCCTGAGAACACAACAACATCACAAGAAATAAGGCGTGCAAAAACACCAGCAAAACAGGACAGAATTTCTCCTTAAAAAAATGGTTTAGGTTAACCATAAATATTTTTATTAATCGCTTTTAAAACAATTTAAAAGTCATATGTAATCTGTTCAGTGTATTTCTTGTTTCTTTTTTTGGATATAAACAATACTGAAAAGTGGTGTATCTATTTTAAGTGAGCCAAAGCAACAACTCAGATTGCATCTTCATCTGCGTGATGGCAGGCAAAACAGGTAAGAAATGTATTGCAGCAGTTCTCTTTGTACTCTTTAGAAACTGGTCTGATAGTTTGTGATTATCCATTCTTGTATTTTTTATTCATGTGTTCTATGAATATGTGAGCAGTGTATGCAGTTTGTGAACGTGAGGGACAGTTGAAGAACAGTGTGTCTTAAAAAATAGGTCTACAAAGAGGAAAGAGGTTATGCATCTAATGATATTAGGACACAACTGTCAAACCACTGTGGTTCTTTACAATGAATCCTGTTTCTTTCAGTTGCTCTAAACAGTTATTCAAGTAATCTCTTCCGTGAATGTACAATGAAAGTATTTATAGTACAGATAAAAAATTAAAATGGGCTGTTTTTTGTGGTAAATATTTACAACACTTCACTGAGAAAAACTTTAGTCCATTCTTAAAAAGCCATATATTGTATACATACTGTATGCCCAGTTTCTGCCCTGTTTCATTAAGATGGTGTTTTATTGCACCTTCATGTTCTTAATCCTTTTCTTCTCTCTTATACTTAGACAGAGACCTGTCTCTTCTCTGGAAGACAGAATCTGTCAAACCTCTTTTCAGTCACACCGTTATCGGAAATGTTGACAAAGGTAAGAGAGAGTGCTCGATTGGTTCATTTGACCACAAAATGGAATAAAAAATGGAATACACCGACAGTACTGTAGAGAATGACATGAATGCTGATAATATGTACAGTAGATGATTATAGAAGTAATTAGAAGTATAAGAACATGATCATTATAACATTATGTGTTCTTCTGATCATGTTTAATGCATGTTTATGCTTCAAAATACTTTTGATTTAAGCTACTTGTATAAAAAATTTTGTAATACTGGTTTTCTATTTTAGCTTAAAATATTGTATTTTCATTTACAACTTATAAACCATACTACAGTATATATACTGTATCTCCTACAGTACATTATCAGCTGTAATATATTATATTTTGTACTGTACATACTGTATAATCAGTGTTTAATAATGTTCAAAACAAAGTTTACCTATACCTGAGATAAATCCTAAATGTATTTTTATATATTTTATTCATATGGACATAATTCAACAGGTAATGATTCTGTTCACACTCCAAGTCCATTGCTACTCAAAGGTAAGAGTACTGGATATCTGTATGCATTAGACTTTAAAATCTTCATGCTCACCTATAAGGCTTTACATGGCATGGCACCTCAATACCTGTCTGAACTTTTATCGCCCTACTCCCCACCTCGCAACCTCCGCTCTTCAAATTCTGCCCTCCTTACTGTCCCCCAAGCCCATCTACATTGTATGGGCGACAGAGCCTTCTCCTGCTATGCCCCCAAGCTTTGGAACTCTTTGCCCAAGGATATCAGAGAGTCACCTTCTCTAAACTCCTTCAAATCCAGACTCAAAACCTTCTTCTACAGAAAAGCCATTACTTAACGGGTTCCATTCTTCACCCCTCTGCTCTTCTTAATACCACCTTCCACAGTCTCCTCTATTGTTATTGTTGTATTGTTGTAATTATAATTGTGTCCTATCTTGTGAAATCTTCTTATTTATTGTTGTAGTCTTCTTATTTATTGTTATTGTCATCCTGTAAAGCGCTTTGAGAAGCCACCTTTAAAGGCC